ATTTCCTTGAGGAGACTGGTCTGTCCCTCCCCTCCCTGCTTCTCTCCCAGGCTGTGGGAAGGCTCTCCGGCTCAGCTGTATTGTTGGTTCTTGTTCCAAGGAGACAAAACGGTGTCACAAGTGAGTAATGATTAGGGACTAGTAATTTTCTAGGATGGGCACACAGGTCAGACAGGCCCCAGCACGTTCCTAAAGTGCTGTCCTCTGCCTGCAAGATGGGTGGGATGCCCCTGGCTCATTGCTCAGCAGTCCCTGCATCAGCTGCTGCCCTCTGGCTGGAAGGAGAGGTTCAAAGCAAGAAGGTTTGGAAATAACTCAGCTTCTAGTTGGCATGTCATTTACTTCATGTAATGGTCCATCTAAGTCATTTGGGCTGACTGGACATGTGACCACTGTCCATCCTGGTCTCTGGGGCTGGGTTACCACCATTGGTTTGGATTTATGTTAAGCTGTGTGTCTGCTGTTACTTCTTCCCTGAGACCCTTTCTTCACCAAAGGATTTTCTTCCTTGGTGAAGATCAGTGTTTCGGATGACCAGATACTCCAAATCTTCTGGCATAGACCCAATTCCAAACATTCTGTCTTCCTTCCTTCCTTCAAACGTATTTATTGAGCATCTCTTTATGCCGAGTATTGGGGATACTACAGTGAACACGGCAGATTCAGTCTCTGCATTGTGGAGCTCATGTCATGTAAGATCAAATATTCTGATTTCCGGTTTGGGAAATACGGTTGCCTATTACCTCTCTGACCCTTGTTCTCCAGCAGCGATAAAGCCCTTGCAGCAGGAATTTAGGTGGGGAGTAACTTTTCTGTAGTTTTTCCATCTTTCTAAGGCACTTTCCACAGGCATGAGCATGTAAGTAAGTTGTCAGCTCTGAGTACATCCCAGGGAACAGTTTAACTGAGAGATTCTCTATCTGTTTCACCAATTATGCCTGCTGTTAATTATGCTGCATTTCACGTAGGGGTTATGGGATGCATTTCAGTTGGCTGTTACCTTTTCCCTTCTTTGACACGGACTTTGTTTTCATTTCATGTATTTGTTAGGGCTTTGGTTTTCAAGGCAATTTTGCCTACTACTGTTTCATACCCAGGAGGCTTTTATTAGGCCTAGGACATTTTTAAGAATCTGATATTTTAATATCAACCAAGCAGCCTTATAAAGAAGTTAAAAAAATTTAATTACAGAGACTTTCAAACATCTACAAAAGGAAACTGAATCATGTGATACATCACTGACCCTTCACCCAGCCCTGAAGCCCTCGACCCATGCTCAGTCCTGCTCTGTCTGTACTCCTGTCTGCTTCCTTCACCCTGTATCCCAGATATCATAAATATTTAATCATGTTTCTCTAAAAGATAAAGGCTATCTCTTAATATAATCGCAATGCTCTTATCATGCCTAAAAAAACTAATATTTATCTTATAGGGAGATATTTTAAAGGACCCGAGAGGAGAAAAATTCAGCCACGGTCACAGTGCCAAACATGCCAGCTCTTTTCTTTTCATTTCTTTTCTTTTCTTTTCTTTTCTTTTCTT